CCGGCGCCCGGAGCCTGGGCTTGCTTTTCCCCTCCTCCCTTGGAAGCAGGGGTAAGGGACACACGCTGACGTGGGGCTGAGGAGAGTCCCAGCCACAGGGGTGGGGCAGGTGCGGGCACCACTGAACCCCAGGTAGCTACAGGACCGAACCAGGAGATAGAAGTGGAGAGGGGTGATGGCGGGTGAGGGTGTGAGGAGAGGAGCGAGGCCTTCAGGCCACCGTGTGACCCGCTGTCACTGGGGGACACAGGGGCCTTCAGTGTTCAGAGCAGACTTGTGAACATGGTTGACAGGTCGTTAGGTTTTCTGTTATTAGTTTTTCTTTCCTTTTCAGTAGTAGGGATAGAACTGAGGAGACTACTGAGCCATACAAAGCACCTCCCTTTTTTTTGGTACTGGGACTCAAACTCAGGACCTTGCACTGCCAGGCGGGCGCTGTGCCGCTGAATTATATCCCCAGCCAGCCCTTTCATTTTAAGACAGGATCTTACTAAGTTGTCCAGGCTGACCTTCAAGTTGAAATCCTCCTGCCTCAGCCTCCTGAGCAGATGGGATCACTGGCGTATGCTGTCTCACTCGGCTAGGCACAGTTTTGATGGCAGGCTGGGGCCAAGCCTGACTAGAGTGGATTTAGCAGCAAAGGAGGAAAGGAACTGGACAGAGTAAGTAGGGCAGAGAAATGGGAGGTAGTCAGCGGGGGCCACAGAGTCACAAGAGAGTTTCTGCTGTTTTCCTACTGTGAGAACAGTGGTGGCACATCTGAACACTGCCATGCACGGTCCAGAAGGGAGGTGAGCAGAGAGTGAAAGTAGGTGGATAGAACTACCACAGGCGAGGGAAGGCAGGCTCCAGAGAGCCGCAATGCAGGAATGGAGGCGGTGGGGTGTGGCCGGGAGGCTGAAGCAGGCAGGTTGGGTTCCGTTTTGACAGCTGTTGTTCCCATCTCACCTGGATGTTCTGTCAGGAACTGCATCCTGGGCTGGGAGTACAAGTGTCTATGGGGAACTCCTGGCCTCAACCCGGCCTAGGTGTGCAGACTCAGGACTTGAAGTCCTACCTACCACAGAGGGGACCAGAGACAGAGACAGAAGGGCTAGGAAATCACGTGAGAGAAAACCGGAAATAGACCAAAATGCAGTCTTATTTATTTATTTATTTATTTTTGTCTTTTTGAGACAGGGTCTTGCTCTGCAGTTCAGGCTGACTTGAGCTCACTTTGTAGCCCAGGCTGGCCTCGAACTCGCAATAATCCTCCTGCCTCAGCCTCCTGAGTGCTGGGATTACAGGCATGCGCCACCAAGCCTGGCCCGAAATGCAGTCTTTCTCCAATCCTGGGAACGGGGCTGCCGGCTGCTGCTCACAGCCCTGTACACAAAGGCCGCGTGTGAATCCTGCTTTGCCACGCGCCAGCTCTGTGGTCACCTTGTGTGCTGAACCACAAATTCTCTATCTGTAAAACAGGGACGCTACCCATTTCCTCTCAGGACTTTTGGGGGAACTGAGAGGGACATCACCTAGAAAATGCCCGGGTCAGGACGCCGGATGAGTTAGACTCTTTCTCTTCCCTTCCTCTGGCCCTGCAGCCGAGTCCCCTCGGTTAGCAGAGTGGCTCCCGGGCTGGACCCAGGGCCCCGCCTGCTGGCGGACTGTGGAACTGCACCTCCGGCTCTGTGGGCCTGGAATCCAGTCCTTCCAGGGCACAGGCAACGATTCCCTCCAGACTGAAACGCTGCATGCAAAGACCTTTCCGCCACCTCGTCACGTGCCAGGGCTTCCATCCACTCCGCCCGTCTTTGCTTCTGTTCGGTGGCCTCCTCTCCATTAAATCAAATGCAGCTGCTCTGCAGGTTCCCAGGATGCTACCTCTGTCCAGGGGGCATTTTCTTTTCTTTTTTCCCCAGAGGCATTTTCTAGCATCTGAATCTGACCAGTCACCTCCCTGAATTCTAGGTGAGGAGGGTGTGTACATGTTTTTCTGGATTTTCCAAAGTATATACCCAAGCACATCTTTATAATCTGTGCGTGTGCGCGTGCGTGCGTGTAAAAGAAAAGTCCTTCCTGGTACTTGTGAACCCCCCAGCAAGGGGTGCGCGGCGGACCCCTCCCCCCACCCAGCTGCCCGCCGACCCCACACGCGTCCTTCTCCGGGAAAACTGACCCGCACTCCGCAGAGGCTGAGTTCCTACTTGTCCTTTAGCGCTCCGCTCGGCTTATGTCAGCCCCCAGAAGCCTCCCTGACCCCCAGTAGGTCAGGGCTTGGTACCCTCGCCCTACCCTCCTCCCCACGACAGCGCTGGCGGCATCAGTGTGGGAGCTGCTTCTTCCCGGAAAGCGGGCCTCTTGCAGGCCGGCGTGCCTCACGTGTGTGTCAGACCTGCCGCTCAGCGCACCGTAGCTGAATGAAACCCACTGCCAAGGCTTGTCCGCCCACAAGACGAGGGGTCTGGATAGCAGGCCCCGAGTCTCCTCTGACCCTGTTTCTACGCGTCCCACATAACGAGGAGCATGTTTTAGGCCAGCAGTCATCGCACTGCCGACCCTGAGCAGGGATTCCCCGGACACCGCTGGGCTCTGGGTGTCCCCCCCTAGGTTTCTTCTGCCCTGAGGAGGGGAGGTGGATCAGGCCTTCCTTCCTCGGCAGACGACCTCTACGATCCACAGATCTCCCGGGAAACCAAGTCACTTCCCGTCCGTGGTGGGCCCACGTCCCAGGACGCAATAGGCCATGTCCCCTAGCAGCATCACGCGCGCCTGTAACAGAGATCACTGCCAAGCCTGGTACGGAGCAGCAGGGGCTGGCTACCGTTTGTCAGGAAGAGCTGCACAAGGGTGAGCGGCAACTGAGCCCTTTCCTGGGGTGCTCCTTGGGGTACTTACCCTTAAGGCACTGAACTATGATTTGAAGTAAGTCGGAAACATGGCACCAGGGAAGCCACAAATACTTCTCCACACTCCCCATCACTACTAAGTGCAGCTGGTCGCGCTTCTACTTAGGCAGACTGAGTCCTTCAGCGGTGCCAAGGGTCGAACCCACAGCACTTACCTGCTAACGATTCTGCCACCCAGCTACACTTATAACGCTTTTTACCTTTTGGTTCTGTGATGGTATCTCACTAAATTGGCCAGGCTGGCCTTGAACCTGTGATCCTCCTGCCTCCAGCTCCTGAGTAGCTATGATCACAGGTTCCTGCCACCATGTTTAGCTTGACTGGATCCTTGAAGTGAGATAAACATCCTTTCAAGTTGGGACTTTCTGTTGAACTTTCTTTGAGATGCCAGGACGTTTCACTCTTCACTGCAAATTCTTTTTGTGTGGGAGGGTGCGGTTTGAGACAGGGTCCATGTAGGTTAGGCTGGCCTCAAACTCAGTGATCTCACCTCAGCCTCAAAAGATCTGGGATCACAGGCATGTGCCAGTCTGCCCAGCTTCAATGCAAATTCTTTTTCTTTTAGTTTTTTTTTGACACAGGGTCTCGCTGTGTAGCCCAGGCTGGGCTTGAACTCATGGCAATCCTCCTGCCTCAGCCTCACAAGTATGGGCTTTACAGGTATGTGCCACCACGCTCAGCTCCAAAGCAAATTTTTTTTTTTTTTTTTTTGCGGTACTGGGGACCAAACTCACGACCTTGCGCTTGCCAGGCAGGCACTTATGCCACTGAGCTATATCCCCAGCCCCTCCAACGCAAATTGTAAAACCAAAAATGCACAACATAATTCCTCACCAGAGGGCTGGGATATAGCTCAGTGGCACAGTGCCTTCCTGGCAAGGGTGAGGCCATGAGTTCATTTGCTGGTACCAAAAAATAGTAATTCCTCACCAGAAAGGATATACTTTATCTAAACTAAATCTAAACCCTTTAGTAATGTACGTCCAATAAGTTGCTCAGTTTGGGTATTTTAACTTCAAAACACTCAGGAGGGAAAATCAAACCACAGTTGAGCATAATGGAGTGTCAGCCATGGGCCAAGATCTCTTGCCTTACCCGACTCCAGAGACCACAGAGAGTGTATGGGCTCTAAATTCAGAGCAGGGTTTCACAGTGGCTCACAGGGAAGTCATTTTGTATGTGAGCTTGCGATCCGCACATAAGTCAGGCGAAGAGGCTCCTTTCAGGGCTATGAGAAGGGAAGGGCATGCTGTATGGTTACGCAGTACGTGACTGTTCACTCCAGTGAGGACGGTATCGGCCTCCTAAGATTAGGACCTTCGTCTTTACAGAGCCTGAGGTCAACTTTTTGCACAGCTGTGACACCATGGATCTCTGTTCTTTAGAAGGCTGCTCCTAGGGGCTGGGGATTTAGCTGAGCAGCACAGCACCTGCCTGGCAAGTGCAAGGTTGTGAGTTCGATTTCCGGTACTGGAAAAAAACCCAAAAACAAACAAACAAAAAAGAAGGCTGCTCCTGTTCCAAGTCCACGCTCTTGAGCCCTCGGAGACCGGAATTTAGCTGGCATCTTCCTCACAAAGCCACGCATCACTCACAGTACACTTCTACACACGAGATTCAAGGACACAGAACAGTAAAAACTGAAGGCCCCTCAAACTTCAGTCTCCTTCTGCTCCTGTGCCACTGAGCTGTACTGCAGACGCATGTGAGTGGGTGACCAGGTTTATCCACTCCGGGATAAACGCCTGGGCCCAGGGCTCACTTATGAGACTTGTTCTGTCTTCTGATAAGGGCAACATCTACCTTGTAAACCACTTTGCTTTGGGCCAGGGATGTAGCTCAGCGGTGCAGCACCTGCCTGGCACGCATGAGGTCCTGAGTTTGATTCCCGGTACCAAAAAAACCCCAAAACAAAAAAAAACCTCACTTTGCCTTGTGAGACCCCAGTCTGGGGACTAGACTCTCTAGTTAGAACTTCCACACTTATCAGGGGCCATCTTTTTTGTGGTAATAAAATGGGGACAGAGCTTCACCTCTAAGCTCAGCAGCTACAAATCTGACAAATGTCCCTGATGATCAGCGATGGTGGTGATGGACTCAAGACCGCACCAGAGTGACAAAAGTTACATTTAATTTACAATGTAATAAAGGTTACAGGTAAAAAGCTACACATTAAGCATGAAAAGCCCTATTACACAAATGTACAAATCTCTGTACAAAGCTCCTATCAACGTTTCCTACCTCTGTCTCCTGTTGTTAGCCAGGTCCAGTCTTAGAGCTCTGAGGAAGCAGAGCTCTCAACTGAGGGGAGAAGAGCCTCCAAACCAACAGATAAAAATGTCCTCTGGAGAGACATCAGTTGCTTGCAAAGTAAAATATTTTCTTTTTAATTTGAATTGACCTAATTCGTCATATCCTGGCAAAAAATTGCCTTCATAACACACTGAAAGCTAGGTATGTATGGTGGTGGATGCCTATAATCCTAGCACTCGGGAGACTGAGGCAGGAGGATCGCAGTGAGTTCAAGACCAGCCTGCACTACACAGCGAGACCCTGTCTCAAAAAAAATCAAAAACCAAAGAACAAAAACATAACACACTGAAAAAGGACAGTAATACCTCAGAGAGTAGAGGACAGTGCTCTGGAACTAAACGAGAAACTTAGGAAAGTGGAGTGCTCAGGTTTGACAAGAACACAGGTAAAGTTCAAACAATACTGCAAGTTAAAAACTATGGACCTGTACTGGTCACAAAGGGAAATCAAATGTGTTCTCATTCCAACAGAAAAGACACAAGAGAAAAGCCTAACTATTGGACCTCAAAACCAGTGACCCAAGGAAACATTTTTGAGTTTAAACTTTATCTTAACTTTAAAATGCTAAACCTTTTTGATCAACCTGGGATCCACGGCAACCCTTTTGCTACCTGGGATTTACAAGGATAGTAAATGTAAATGAGGCTGCTGGATCCCAAAACTGGTGAGGCTACTGCTACCTCCACAGCTCGGGATTCTACCTGGGCTATGCGACATCACATAAAAATGATACTAGAGAGGGAGAAGGGTGAAGGCCTGAGAAAGAGCCAGAGCAGTGTGCTAAAAACAACCTACAAAACCTTTCTGTACACCAGCAGTGTTGTGAAGACAGCTTCAGGGGATGTTTCAGCCCACCCCAGTCTTATATACTCGGTCAGGACCCAGGAGACATTCTGAAAGACGGAACTGCACACATGGAAAGTTTCTCTCCCTTGTACATTAGCTCCCCTGTCACCCTTCCACCCGACTCCCACCCAACCCCACCCTTCTCCATAACCAAAAATATCAGATCAGCAAGGAAGGTGTGGGCTTCTTGCCCGGCCAAGCCTCTTTTGCGTATTTCTTCTTTTTGGGTTCATTAACGGCTTCCGGGTTATAGGCCACAGGGTTGGGCGTGGGGTTCACGTTCACTGCTGACGGCACGACAGGAGTCAAGTCCACCTCAGGGGCGAGGTTCGGGTACGGCATGGGCAAGCCGCCGATGAGCGCTGTCCCGTGGGTGCCATGCGGCTGGGAGCCCGCCTCACTGTGCGTGGGGGGCAGGCCCCCGTAGAGTCCTCCACTGAAGGCAAAGTTCTGCATGCGCCTGCTCCCTGATTCCTCCAAGCCCAGGGAGCCAGGGCCTTCCACCCGCTTCTTCTGTGGTTTGCCACGAGGACAGGGGAGAGAAGGGAGAGAGGAGATAAGAGAGGAAACATGAGAGTACTTTTGTTGTTTTTTTTCCCATTCCAACCTTAGAAAAATGGCCTTTGAGGAAGACCCCTACCTTCTAGTAAGTTCTCTCAGACAGATCACACTGCCCCTCACAAAGTTTTTACCACTCTATGTCAAATGGAGAAAAATGAGGACAGTACTCTGTGCTCCATAGTAAAACTTTCAGATTTCTTTCTATTTTCTTTTTTTTTTTTTTTTGCCTTTTTGAGACAGGGTCTCGCTGTGCAGTTCAGGCTGGTCTCGAACTCACAATGATCCTCCTGCCTCAGCCTCCTGAGTGCTGGATTAAAGGTGTGCGCCACCACGCTCAGCTAACTCCTGGAATTTAACTAACTCTTTACACTGTGGATCATACTTCTCCCTCTCTTATGTTGACTTGGGAAATGGAAGTGATATTTCAGCTATTTTCATTTTGAGGGAGAACATAAAAAGTTGATACTTCTATATTGTGTACCCAATTCTTTTTTTCTTTTTTGGGGGAGCATGGGATTGAACCTAGGGCCTGTGCATGTTAGACAAGCATCCTACCACTGAGCTACATCCCCAGACTTTTTTGGTAATAAAAGATGACGTCTTGCTGCATTGTTCAGGCTGGACTGCAGTGGCTATTCCCAAGTTCTGACCTTTGACCAGGGCTAGTTTACCCTTCCTTAGGCAGCCTGGTGATCCCCACTCCCGGAAGGCCACTACGCTGATGCCAAACTTAGTGCGCAGCACACAACAGCCTTGAACTCCCGGCTTCAAGTGATCCTTCTGCCTCAGTCTTCTGAGTTCCTGTGACTACAAGAGCTGGGTGCCCAATTTTTACTTCTTTCTCTTCTGAGACAGAATCTCACTTTGTTCCCTAAGCTGGACTCACATTCATGATTCTTCTACCTTAGCCCTAGTACTACACCAAAGGGGAAAAGATAAGACATAAAGCTGTCTCCTGGTTTTGTACTTTCATAATAATAGATTACAGAGGAGGAACAAGGAGACAGAAAGTGCTCTAGGGGAAAGGTGCTCTCATCTACTTTTTCAGTTCTTTTTTTTTTTTTTTTTTTTGAGCCAGGGCACTATGCAGTTCAGGCTGGCCTTGAGCTCACTTTGTAGTCCAGGCTGGTCTCGAGCTCGCAATGACCCTCCTGCCTCAGACTCCCAAGTGCTGGGATTACAGGCATGCACCACCACGCCCAGCTTACTTTCTCAGTTCTTAGTGATCTTTTTTTTTTTGGTACTGGGAATTGAACTCAGGTCCTTGCACTTGACAGACAGGTGATGTGCCGCTGAGCTAAACCTCCGGCCCCTACTTTCTCATACTGCACTAAAGTTCACGAAAGACGCTTCTCATCCTTTTCTATTTGACTAAACAAAGATGAAGCAAAAACTCTGACATATCTTGTCAGTTCAGTCTAAGACATGGGTTCCAAATCTGAATTCAATCAACTGAAGATCAAAAATATTTGGAAGAAACCTCACATTGAACATGTACACACTTTTTCTGGGGGGGAGGTGCATTATTCCCTAAGCAAAATAACATAGTAACTTTGTAAATAGTTGCTAAAAAGCATTTATATTGTGTTCGGTATTCTAAGTAATCTAGAGATGATTTAAAGTACACTGGACGGCAAGTGGTGGTTATATATAAATACTGTACTGCTTCACATAGGTGGCTGGAGCATCCATGAGACTCTGGTATTTAAAGAAGTCCTAAAACCAACTCCTCATGGATATGAAGGGTGAATTTACATTCATTCATTCATTCATTTATTTATTTATTTGCCAGTACTGGGGATCGAACTCACAACCTTGCACTTGCCAGGCAGGCACTGTGCCACTGAGCTAAATCCCCAGCCCCTAAAGGGTGAATTTAAAACTAAAACTCTCTATAGCATCTACAAGCATGCTCAACCAATCACTGTTTCTTTGTGGGGAGTTGGAAACTTTTCTTTTTCTTTGAGACACAGTCTCATTGTGTAGTATGGGCTGGCCTCAAACTCACAGTGATCTTCCTGCCTCAGCCTCCCAAGTGCTGGGATTACAGGTGTGCACCACCATGCCTGGCTTTTTTCTTTTTGGAGGTAAGGTTTCTCTGCAAGTTTTCTCTCTTCCAACCTTCCTGCCTCAGCTTCCCAACTGCCATCACTACAGCCAGCACTGCTTCCAATCACGTTCTGAATACTGTTATTAACAGGGATGTATTACAATCTTACTTCTTTACTTCAAGGGGCAGTTTGTTCCCTTTTGGACAGTTCTACCCATCAGGGAGTTTCTTCACATGTTCGGAATTAAGAGTGCCTCTGTAACTTCTTCTTCTTGGTTCTCTGACATACCTTTATCTTTAAACCTAATCCAGATCTAGACTGACCTTCTGATGTTGTGCAAGGCTGTGATAATGATTCTCCCTCACCTAGATGCTTACTTTGAGTGAAAAGAAAAAGGCTCAAGAAGGTGGGCCTCTTTCTGTATCCTTTGGGCAAGTAAACTTACAGATTTACACAGCACACAGTTTACATGTCCTATCAAGCTGGCTGGTCACTGGCAGCCTTCCTGTATTACTCCAGGGTTTGTTAGACATGAGGGTGTGGTGAATAAGAGCATTTTTACAGATATGAAAAATAGGAGAGGAGCACAGAATGTGTTTTAGAATTACACACTCATTTAACACCCACCTACTTACACCAAGATGTAGTTATGCTGTTGGTATTGTCTGTTTTTTGTGGTGCCAAGGATCAAACTCAGGGGCTCACACATGCTAAGCACATGCTCTACCACGGAGCTATACCCTCAAGCCCCCAAATGTGTTCTGAATCTAGGCATTTAAAATACCATTAAAATGTACTTCCTACCTTGACTGGGACCACTGCAGTCTGCACCATGTTCCGGAAGCGACCAACTGAGGGATCCACATCCTCTGCAAAAAGAGATGAGGGCAGACTTGGATTGGTGCTCAACTCGGAGGGATAAGGGTAGAGGGCTCACTGACAGCACAATGACTCACATTCCGATAATAAAATAAAGCCAGCACCAAGTGTTTACCATGTGCTGGGCACCGTGCTAAAACCTCTCAACAACCCCACAACGTCAGTTCTACTGTAATCGACATCAGACAGACAAGAAAACAGACTGAAGCTTAGAGGAGCTGACAAGCCCTGTCACCCTGGTGAGAGGAGCTGGGAACTGAGTCCAAGTAGCCAGAGAGGCCTGTGCTGCAGACCACAGTCCTGTGCTCCTTCCCCAAGTTCTTTCATATTCCACACATTTCCTCCTCTGGCAGGGGGGTATGATCAATCTCACATTACTAATAAAAAAGTGAGATGAAGTCACATACTATACATCTTGCTAATACCTGTTTATTAGCAAAAAGCAGATTTAGGACTCAGACCCAGGGCTTTAAACGTACCCTAGCCTTTTGACCAGAACAACTATGCATTTTTTGTCTTGTTTTGAGATAGTCTTATTAAATTGCCCATGCTAGCCTTGAACTTGAGATCCTCTTCCTTCAACTCCTCCAGCAGCTGGGATTATAAGTGTGCCCCATTATGCCCTGCTTTAAACTCTATGTAATCAAAGTTGTCTTTTTTGAGGCAGGTTCTCTATATGATCCTCTTGCCTCAGCCTCCCAGTGCTAGGATTACAGGTATGCACCACCACACTCAATGAAGACTTACAATCGAGCATCTGAACCTCCTTGCCTGGGGAAGGTGAGAGAGCACCTCCTTCTTCAACCATTTACATACGCATCACTATACCCTATAAAGCTCCACGGCACTATTTTTTTTTTTTGTCTTTTTGAGACAGGGTCTCGCTATGCAGTTCAGGCTGGCCTTGAGCTCACTCTGTAGCCCAGGCTGGTCTCGAACTGGCAAAGATCCTCTTGCCTCAGCCTCCCAAGTGCTGGGATTACAGGCATGCACGACCACGTCTGGCCTAGGGCACTATTTTTAAGGAGAAAAACACAGCAAATCAGATCCTGCTTACTAACAGACAGATTATCCAGTCCAGTAGTTCTCAAATTGCTGGCTATTTATCAATACAAACAGGAACCTGCTTAAAAATACAAAATTCAAATGGGACACAGTGGCATACATCTATTATCCCAGTTACTACTCTATAATCCCAGCCATTCAGGAGGCTGAGGCAGGAGGATCACAAGTTCAAGGCCGGGCTGAGCAACTTAGTCTCAAATGAGTAGGATGTAGCTCAGTGGTAAAGTGCCCCTAGGTTCTCACTACCAGGTTCCCTGGTCCCCCTACCAGGAGTCGGGGAAAGGATCCACCTTTTTTTTTTTTGTCTTTGAAACAGGGTCTCGCTGTGCAGTTCAGGCTGGCCTTGAGTTCACTCTGTAGCCCAGCCTGGCCTGGAACTCGCAACAACCTTTCTGCCTCAGCCTCCTGAGTGCTGGGATTACAGGCCTGCGCCACCACACCTGGCAGGATCCACTTTATGGAAACTTATAGATCGGTCATGCAGTCCCTGCCTGAACAAACTCCCTTGAGCATTAACTTCTGACAAGGAATCCATTCCCCTTCACACAGCATCAGAAAGTGAACTTATAGTCAGTAGAATGAATCCCCTGATCTCTTTCACAGCAATCATGCTCATTTTTTTCTAAATACAAGCCAGAGATTTCCTGGCTTCTATCTTGTTTTTAATCCCGAGTCAAGCACTGGCTCTGGTCCTGGCTCTCTTCTTCCTGGCCACAGGGGGCATGCTTCCCGCTTCCTTCCTCCTCAAGCACAGTTCCCTCAACTCCCCATCACCCAGGGAGTTGTCTTCCAGGGCTACGAGCCTCCACTCCCCTCAGGACCACGCCACACATGTGGGGAGCTCTGGTCAGAGCACACACGGGTAGGGCAACTGTCCCCACCAGTCTTCTACGAATTCAAACCTGAATTGCACTTGATTAGTTTCTACATCTCCTGGTGACTCAGACTGCATTTTCAATTAACTAAAATTCTTAGGTCTTTTCTTTCCACAGTCTGTCAGCAGAGCCGATCTCCATTTAAATAATTCATATTTTAAATCTAAATTCAGGACTTACAAGTTATTCAGCATCTCAACTTGGGAAATAAAAGCAACTTAATAGGTAGCATTCCTTGATTCAAACCAAATGTATTGTCAAACCGTTATTTTTAAGAAAATCTTCGGCCAGGCATGGTGGCACATGCCTGTAATCCCAGTACTCAGGAGGCTCAGGCAGGATGATCGTTCTGAGTTCCAGACCTGCCTGGGCTACAAAGTGAGCTCAAGGCCAGCCTGAACTGCATAGCGAGACCCTGTCTCAAAAAGATCAAAAAAGAAAAAAAAAAACCCTTGAGTACAGCATCCCTTATCCCAACATTTGCTGGGAAATGTTCCAGCTGACGTGTAGGCTGCACACAAATTTTTTCATCAGAAGAAACTAGAAAGGGATCTCACCTGGATTGATGATTTCATCATCCTCACTGAAAGTCACCCGTGAGTTCTTCCGCTTCCTCTTTGGTCTCTGAATGTCTAGATTTCCCTCCTCAATAGTGAGGGTAGAAATCCGCTTGTTGTGGGCAGTGTTAAACTCTGTCAGATTCTAGGCCAAGGTTCACACAGGAAAGACAGAGGTCAGTACATAGGGAATGTAATGAAGAATATTCTACTAAATAAATAGCAGGAAGCATTAGGGACTTACTTTGACCTCCAATGCACATGAAACTTCTGTATTGAGAGGAGATTTACATTGCTCTTAGACTGGTAACAAGTCTCACTTGAAACAACATGAAACATCCTCACAGACCAGTGAGAGAATGCTATTCAAAAGGAAGCAAAGGGCCTGAGTGAGACTAGCTCACCCGGCCTCAAAGATCCTGGAATTGAGGTACTGTTGCTTTTTTTTTTTTTTTTTTTTAAAGAAATGCAACATGCATCCATGCTGAGATTTAAAGGAAATGTCATAGGGAGGAACTCTAAGAACTATTTTAAACAAAAGAGATTTTTAAAAAGGACAGCTGGCTGCTTCTTTTTCAGGAGCTCTCTCCTTTAATTTTTTTTTTGGGGGGCGGTCTTTTTGAGACAGGGTCTCGCTATGCAGTTCAGGCTGATCTTGAACTCACAAGATCCTCCTGCCTCAACCTCCCAAGTGCTGGGATTACAGGCGTGCACCACCTCACCCAGCCTTCTCTGTAATTCTTAAGGACATCGCTCATGCACTAAATTTCTGACATTAATCTTTTGTCATTCCTCTTCTTACATCTGTCCTCAGTTTTACTCACAATCACCTATTCAGCTCCCCAACTAACCCAGCCTCAACACTGCTGCCTGCCTCTTCAGTGTGTTCAGCTTACTTCAATGGGCAGTGCAATCTGAGACGTTCCAAATGATTCAGAATGAAGACCCACAAGACCTAACATGCTGAACTAAAACACAGGGAAGCACAAAAGCAACTGGGAGGGAAGAAGGGCAAAAGTGACTGCCAGCAAGGTCCCTAAAGGAAGCCACTTCTTCAGAACAAAATCACTTCTAAATTGTTAGATTTCTATTGTGCTTTTCTTCCTAAATACTAGGAAACTGTTTTGGTACACAGGAATAGTAAACAGATATGGGTGGTTAAAGACATGGTTGCATGTGAGGTATCTGAACCGACAAACACACCAGTGCAGTATAGCTATATCACAAACTTCTGTGCTCAGCTTCTAGAAATGGAAAACTTGGGCCTGAGATGCAGCTCAGTGGTACAGTGTGTGTTCAGCATGCACATGGCCCTGAGTTCAATCCACAGAACCCCCCACATCTCCAAAAAATTGTCTCAGCACTTTAAAATTCATGGCTTTCTGGTCCATAAAAACAAAAGCAATCTGGAAGCAGTTTGATTCTTTTCAGAAGACTACTCGTGTTTGGACAGCACCAAAAACCCCCTACAAGAATGCAAGTATTAGTCTTGCTGAGCCAGCCTTATCCAACAGAGCTTTCTGCAGTGGTGCAAATGCAGGCATCCCTGAGCACCCCAGCTCCAGAACTCACTGGATAATAAAACCTGAAGCAAGTACCTCAGGGAAAATGTATGTAACCTAGGAACATCCTTCCACATACTTCAAATTCTCTCTTAAATTACTAATAATACCTGATACTATGTATGTGCTATGGAAACAGTTGGTATACTGTATTGTTGAGGGAGTAATAACAAAAAAGTCTGTGTTCTGTACAGAAGTAGTTTTCCTCCCCCTGAATATCTCCATCTGCTGTTGGCTGAATTCAAGAATGTAGAATGTGCTTAACCTGGAGGGCTGACTGTGTTCTCTTCTTTGTGCTATCCAATACGGAATCTACTGGTTACATGTGACTACTGAATACACTAGCTGAAATGTGTTTACCGATTTAGACATCACTGCGCTAAGCAGTCATAAGAACAGAAAAACGTTAACTCCCATTGCTTCTAACAGCCAATAAAAGGTTCCAGTGGCAGGGAGACACAGCTGGCCACGGGGCTCATTCCTGGGCTCAAGAGAATCTCCTGCCATTTCACATCACTGGCATTTCAAGCTACACAGAACAGCCACACAGGACAAGAGCCAGCTTCCCCAGACAAACAGTGACAGATGGAGAATTACATCGAGCTCGGTTTCTTCCTCTGGAAGCCCCAGTAAGCCCTTGAGTTCATCATCTTCTCCACCCATCTTCTCATCTCCTTTCACAGCTGATGGCAGTGTCTGAGGCTTCTCACGCAGAGTGTACGCCCTTGTGGATGCACCAAATGAGACCGTGGAGTCGATGGGAATTTGCTGAGGCTTGTGAGGTTCCAACCGAATGTGACCTAAGAAAGTGCCGTGTGCTGGGAATAACCAAATCAGAATGTAAGGGGAGAAACCAAAAACAGGGTGAGTTTTTAAAAGGTAGAGCATCAACTTTGTCTCTCTTCTCAGGCCAGCATCTCCCAGAACACAAGTTTGGGTTTTTTGTTAAAAGTTATTTAAAAAAAAAGTTACGGTCAGAAAACAAACTTTTAAAAATAAAAATGGCACTGGATCCACTGCATCCTAGGTCACATATTATAGGGAGAAGGAAAACTCCTTCAGTGAACCTTGAAGCTCTTCAGTGTTGGTTTTTTTTTTTTTTTGTCATTATTCTTGAGACAGAGTTTTGCTGTTCTTGAACTCACTACTGCAGACCAGGCTGGCCTCAATTGCACAGCAATCCTCCTGCCTCAGCCCTCCAAAGAGAGCTGGGATTACAGGGATGTGTTATCACACCCAGCTCTTTTCATTGGATTTCTGTTTGTTTGGTTTGTTTTTGTTTTTGTTTTGTTGAGACAAGGTCTCCCTACACAGTTCAGGTTGGCCTTGAGCTCACTTTGTAGCCCAGGCTGGTCTCGAACTCGCAATGATCCTCCTGCCTCAGCCTCCCGAGTGCTGGGATTACAGGAGGGGACCACCATGCCTGGCTTCACTGGATTTCTTATACATCTTCAGACCTCTTGTTCCTGAATGTGATAAAGACCACTGCCTCTTCTCTGCTGCTACAAACAGGCTTGACTCCATTCTGGGTCCAGCAGGACTGGCTCCAACTCAGCAGAAGCCATGCTCCCCAAGGCAGGAGACGGGCATTGTGGTCTGCCTTCTCCAGCTCCAAATCTAAGGAAAATAAAAATTGCTAGCTTGCTGGCAGCTATGCTTATACTTTCCTCAGGACGAGAAAGGAGCTTGACCAAAATGAGTGCAATGTCAATCCCAAGGCAAGCCAAAATTCTACCAATTCTGAATTATTTTTCTGAATATTTTTCCACGCCAGCACTTTGCATGTTATGAAATGGAGAGAAGAGATAAGGACTTGTAGACAAGGCTTACCAAGTCCCTATGTAAGCAGACTGGAGAGGTGTATGTGTCTGTGCATGTCTTACGGGGGAAAGGATTAGCACAAGGTAAGGCCAGGAAGCAGGACCCTTTCCTTGCATTTTATACTCTATTTATAAATGGACAAATTGAACAAATTTAAGGGACCTACAGTCAATTCTCAACTGCACAGCTGTGGATTATCTTAGGCAAAGTTTAAAGTCTTGCTGTGGAGTGAGTGTATGACATGAAAATCCATAGCCAAAGCAAAAAGATAAAGAAATTATAGTAGGCTGAACTTTGCTCAAATATCTTTAAAATGTACTGAACAGGGCTGGGGAGATAGCTCAGTGGTACAGCGCCTGTCTGGCAAATGCAAGGTCCTGAGTTTGAGTCCCCGTACCAAAAAAAAAAAAAAAAAAAGTAATTGAAATGGTTTTCTGGGCGTGGTGGCACACGCCTGTAATCCCAGCACTTGGGAAGCTGAGGCAGAAGGATCGTGCGAGCTCGTTGCCAGTTTGAGACCAACCTGGGCTACAAAATGAGACCAAAGGGGCTGGGGATTTAGCTCAGCAGCAAAAGCGCCTGCCTGGCAAGCGCAAGGTCGTGAGTTCGGTTCCCGGTACCGGAGAAAAAAACAAACAAACAAACAAAAAAAAAAGACCAAGGCCAGTCTGAACTACATAGTGAGACCCTGTCTCAAAAAGACAATCAATCAATCAATCAATCAGTAAATGTACTGAATATTGCTGCTCTATTACATCAATGGAGCTAATCATGGCTTCTGCTTAAACTGAAACACAATTATCATAGTCCCAAAATATCTGAATATTTATACTCTCCCATTGTGGGGTGTCAGTTTTGTTCTCTAGATAAACTTAGTACCTCCCCAAACTTAGACAGCACTCCCCAAAACTGTCTTCCTTCCATAGTTATCGGTTATTTCAGGAAAATAGGAGAAACACATTAATAGTGAGAACTGGATTTTAAAATCAAACATAGCTGGGCGTGGAGGCGTATGCCTGTAATCCCAGCACTCAGGAGGCTGAGGCAGGAGGATTGTTGCGAGTTCACGACCAGCCTAGGCTACAAAGTGAGCTCAAGGTCAGCCTGAACTGCATAGAGACCGTGTCTCAGAAAGGGGGGAAAAAAAAAAATCAAATATTTTTTTTTCTCTTGACATGCAATAAAACAAGTTTCCCAAACTAAGAACCCAAGGTACATTTTCATACTGCCTATGAGCAATACATGATGTGGGGAGATACTTACTACTGTTCAGATCAATCAGGAAAACTCTCTTCAGATGCTTGTGGTAAACCAGTGCAGCATGGACCCGAGAGCAAGACTGGTGGTCAATGGTAAAGTCACACAAATCAGGGTTTCTCCCAAATAAGTAATACTTCTTCTCATCAATAATCAGTTTCTAAATAAATAGTAAATTAAATATTACTTAAAATTGTGTCATAACAGGAAACAAAAAACTTCTCATCAAATAAGTAGAGAATCTTGAATAGATTAAAATTTCTTGTGAACCAAAAAAAAAAAAAAAAAAAAAAAAAAAAAAAAAGAAGAGAGAGAAAGCTGGGCGTGATGGCACACGCCTGTAATCCCAGTACTGAGGCGGCTGAGGAAGGAGGATCATTACGAGTTTGAGACCAGCCTAGGCTACAAAGTGAGCTCAAGGCCAGCCTGAACTGCATAGTGAGACCCTGTCTCAAAAGGACCAAAGGAAAAAAAAATACCTTGTGAAGAAAAGAAGAAAAAACGTTTTCTGTTCTTTTTAAATTGTATAGCTAGGCATGGTGGCACATGCCTGTAATGCTAGTACTCTCAGAGGCTGAGGCAGAAGGATTCAAGTTTCAAGCCCAGCCCCTAGAACTTATTTAAGCAAGATTCTGTCTCAAAACAAAATGAATAACAAGCCTGGGGATACAGCTCTACATGAGGCTCTGGGTTCACTCTTCAGTGCCACAAAAACAAGACAAAAATACCTAGGGCACATAACATCCATTCAGGAACTTGTTTTATGAAATGATCCCATAGTCTTTCTTGTAACATGCTCCTAAGCAATCTTCCAAGTCTAATCAGTTACAGTAAGATCCCAAATGGGAACAACCCTTCACATTCCTTACATGTAATTCCCAAATAGTCAAAAATCTAGTATTTTCACTTATGGTTAAGTGAAAAAACATTTTGATCCTTCAGTTCACCTACAGAAGACATTAACAGCTCTATTAGAAAAACTGAGTATCATCTAGGTCTTGAATGATAAACTTCCATAGGGTACTAAACACATCCAAATTTTTTTTTTTTTTGGTTTTTCTCCGGTACCGGGAACCGAACTCACGACCTTGCGCTTGCCAGGCAGGCGCTTTTTGCCGCTGAGGTAAATCCCTAGCCCCCCTAATTTAGCACAAACTTTTTTATGGTAGGAAAACTGGCTAATGAACTGAGATCAGGTTATTGAGCAGAGAAATGTATTTGCCTACTGTACAAGCGCTCCTTTCAAGATATTGTCCATCTTGTCCCAGACAGAAGGTGCAGATGACCTCAGGAATTTTCTACCCACAGACCCAGCTACACCTCTGTGTTCTCATTATTTTTTCTTGATTATATAATTTATTAACATTTCTGGGGGAATGGATGGCAATTAATCTTCCCAAATATGGTGCTCAACTGTATAGTGCTGGTATGAAAATAACTTTTCTTAATTTTATAGGTGTAAGTGGCCTGTCCCCATGAGATAAAGGACTCTAGCAAGAGTGGCTGTCTTTTTCTACTAAAAATTTAAAGTTTTTTTGGTTCTTAATTTTAGACCTAACAGGAAATAAGATGCACAAAACATGTCTAAGAAGTACTAAGATTGCTTTTCAGAAAATATACAATCTAATGAAGATCATTACTTGGTTGGAAAAAGAATGAAGCATAAACACTTACTTGTACTCTAATCATGCAGCCATAGCCCTAAAATATTTTTGGAATTCTCTTTAAGAACTGAAATTAAACTAGACATCAATTCATGAGTTCCAAATCTAACTTTATTGTCCCATATCACTTCGGCAAAAAAATTATTATCACGTTAACTCTGAGTGTGTACTATGTCTAAACACAGAGCTACCTTATATGGCAGACTTGCCAGGTTTTTTAGGGGACAAGGATGAAGGAACAAAGGATCATATCCCTTCCCAGTATTGGGGATTAAAGCACTGAACTATATCCCCAGGCCTTTTTTTGTCAGAAAGGGTCTTGCTGAATTGCCCAGGCTGGGCTTAAACTGATGATCTTCTTGACTGAGTCTCCCAAAGTGCTAGGATTAGACGTATGTACCACCATACCCCGCCTGAAAGACCATTCTTTGTGCTGAATTTAGCTTTATGAAAAACACAGCACCCTGTCCTTACATTTCTTTTAATTCTGGATCAGAATTAAGCCTTTGCCACAGACTGGTTGTAAACCAGACTGTCAGAGATGAAGGACTATGTGAACTATTACTCAGACTTCTAATTCTAGCCGTCTACACCATTGCTAGTTGTCCAGTGTCTAGTTTGGCCACTTGATGAATAACCTTCATGCATGTATGCTGTCTTTTTCCTTGAAACACAAAGGTCTTGTTATGTTCTAGTTCACACTGCACATTATACTTCACCTTCTAATATCCCTATGAAAAGACAGCACAAAATCGAATATAGTCATGTTAGTACCAGGCTAAGAATCAACAGGTCTCTATCCCTGGGGCTAGGTCTTGAACTCACAACAGGCTACTTTATCCTCCCCTATGCTTTAGTGTCGTCACACCTCATGCAAAGAGACCTATCCACAACACAAAAAACTACTGAGTACTTATGTGCCACACATGTAAGTGCTGTGAGTTTTATGTTATACCATTTCATGTAAGGACAAGCACCATATGAGGTGGACAGGAACTATCCTTGCTATTTTTATAGTTGACAAAATTGAGACATAAAGAAATTAACCTACTCAAGTTCACATAGAGCTATTTGTGAGCTGGGTTTAAATTTCAGATTTCCCTGACTTTAGTCTAAGCTCTTCTAATCACTACATTATGTATTTTCTTCATTTTCCTTACATCCAAAGATGTACCATATGGCAAGGCATATTTTAAAAAGTGAATAAGTACAGTAGGTCACACTCTTAATTTTTCTTTAAATAACCACTTTAGTTTCTTTCAGGCTGAGCTTTAAGGTTCAATCAGTTCAAACTAGCTTGGATATGTGGGTCACCTCTGGGAAACCCTGTACAACAGTGCCCATCTGCGGCTGGTAAAGCTAGCTGCAGGCCCAAACTACTACAGAGCACCAGGACTTAACCGCTTGACAGCTCAGTCACCCTCATGTCTGCAAAGAGCTAAGTTTTAAAACTTGGGTTAAAAATACAACCCTGCTTTCAAATTAAACGACAGTCCTGAAATTTCAACATCTTGTGCTCTCTTGGTAATATTTATTTTTATTTTTCTCTCCCACCCTGCCGAAGCCACCCTGATGTGCTACAGAGCAGGCCCGTGCTACTTCATGCCACGGACGCCTCGCGGGGTAATATTTATTCAAGCTGAATCTCACTGCATTTTTCAGTGACATTTTTCATTTCATATTAAAATGGAGATTATGTTTTCACAAACTTAAATTCGTGTTAAATTTGGGTGACAAGGAATACATAAGACCATCAGCTCTCACATTCTAATGTAACAATGATCAGTTTTCTATGATTCTAGGGTGCCAGAAATATACCAGAGATTGAGGAATTTGTTTAAGGGAAGAGACAAAGAGCCCCCAAAGGGCTTATCAAAGGCACCCCAATTACAGAAATGTTAAATTATGGGATTTTAGTGGAAAACAGTATGCCTTCAAATTAAGAAAACATGTTAACAAATAGATGAAATAATGCACTGATTGATTCCCAGTATCAAAAAGGAAAATGCATTGATCTTTCCAGTCACTTTTGTGGTCATACTCTTTGACAAGCTATGGCCAATACTACATCTGGTTGTGCCTTTGAGTTATAACTCAGAGTGCATCTTTACACAATGGGCTTAATGATCTCATGGCTTTTATTTTAATATCGCACTTCTTCAACCCAACTATCACAACATATCACAAGCTTTGATACAAGGCCAGGATATAGATAGCTCGGTTAGTATCAAGTGCTGATCAAGTCTAAATCCTTTGAAAAAAAATAAGCACAACAGGGCTGGGGATGTAGCTCAGTTGTACAGCATTTGCCTAGCATGCCTGAGGCCCTGGATTTGTTCCCCAGCACAGCAATTACCCACACACACACACACACACACACACACACACACACACACGCACGCACCACACACAGACACACACCCCACCCCACCCCCTTACCTGAGGTCTATTCCTCTGAAGAACAATATACTGATGTCTAAGTGTGAAATCTGAACTGTGTGGCAACTCAACACACTTAGAACACCGGAAGAGAACATTACCAGCAAGCGCAAAGCAGTATCAAAAGAATGCTGGTTAAGTTAGAGTGCACTGAAAATATATATTTTTTTTCAAAGAATGTGGTATTATCATTAAGGATAGGCCACCTTGCCTGCTTCTTCCTGTTACAAACTAAAGATTTATTAAATTCTAATAATAAAACAGATCTCCACATATCTTTAAGCTTCATGCTGCTCTATTTAGCAACAAATAGTCTGTATTTGTGGAACCATTTACAGTAAAAGGGTCATTATAAATACTTTAAATTATTCCCTTAAATAGTCCTGATATTCTGAAAATCTTTTTTTTGCTTTTTGGGGTTTTTTTGAGACAGGGTCTCACTATGCAGTTCAGGCTGGTCTTGAGCTAATTTTGTAGCCCAGGCTGGTTGTGAACTCACAGCAATCTTCCTGCCTCAGCCTCCTGAGTGCTGGGATTACAGGTGTGCTAGGATTACAGGCATGAGCCACCACGGCCAGTTTTGAGTATCTTCAAGACCTTGAGCATCTTTAAGGTAAGGTAAAAGAACACATTCTGGCACAGTGGTGCACTTCTATGACCCCAGCACTCTGAGAGGCTGAGGAGGAAGGGTTGGTAGTTTGAATCTCAATTTAGGAAGACCTTGTTCAAAAAATAAAAAAATAAGATTGAGGCAGGAAGATCACTGTGAGTTCAAGACCAGCCTGGACTACAAAGTGAACTCAAGGCCAGCGTGAACTGCATGGTGAGACCCTGTCTCAAAGAGACCAAAAAAAAGGGGGTTGGGGATATAGCTCAATGGAGAAAGGTCTTGGGTTCAATGAGAATCTCTAACAAAGGGGCTCTGTGTGATTAGCTGACAGCATAACGAATAACAAGAAAATTAATTTTAACTCATGCACATCTTCATTTTTGCAAAGTATCCGGTTATCTCCATAATATCCTGAAAGTGACAATACATTTACATGGGATCTTTAAGCAGATTTCGGGGCTGGGGATTTAGCTCAGTGGCAAAGCGCCTGCCTGGCAAGCGCAAGGACGTGAGTTCGGTTCCCGGTACCGGAGAAAAACCAAAAAATAAAATAAAAAATAAATTTAAAAAAAAAGCAGATTTCAATAGCTTTTCAAGCTAGCAACCATAGAAATGCAGTATTTTTATTATATACATCATAAAAACAATTGCACTCAATGGGGCTTAATCTCCATTTTTTGGTTAAAAAAATTCAATAGTTTTTTTTTTTTTTTTTTTTTTGTCTTTTTTGAGACAGCATCTCACTATGCAGTTCAGGCTGGCCTCAAGCTCACTTTGTAGCCCAGGCTGGCCTCGAACTCACAATAATCCTCTTGCCTCAGCCTCCTGAGTGCTGAGATTACAGGTGTGTGCCCAGCTCTTTACTGAATTAAAAAAAAAAAAAAAAAATCTAGCCAGGTGTGATGGTGCCTGTAATCCCAGCACTGGGGTAGCTGAGGCAGGAGGATCACTGTGAGTTCAAGACCAGCCTGGGCTACAAAGTGAGCTCACGGTCAGCCTGAGCTACCTAGTAAGACCCTGTCTCAAAAAAGACAAAAAAAGCTCAGAAAAGAAAGCCTAGGTTTTATCCCCAGTACTTAAAAAACAAAAACAAAGCTGAGCTCAGCGGCACGTGTCTGTAATGCCCACATTGGAGAACCTGAGGGAGAAGTTTTAAGGCCAGCTCAGGCTACATAGGGAGTTCAAGGCCAGCCTGAACTACACAGCAAGACCCTGTCTCAAAAACCAAAACTAAACCCAAAACAACCCTGAAAACTTACAATGTGAATAAAAACTCAAGCCAGGTGTGGTGGTGAACACCTGTAATCCCAGCACTCAAGAGGCTGAGGCAGAAGGACTGTCGTGAGTTTGAGGTCAGTCTGGGCTACATAGTGAGTCCATGAACAGCCTGGACTACACAGCAAGATCCTGTCTCAGAATAATTTAACAAAAACTTACACAATCTAATAACTAATAAATATTCATGTTCTCTTAAAACTTCATATGATATCTACTCTAAAGACTGCATAAAAGCTGGAATTCTGCCAAACTTTTCCTTTACAGTATTTATTTCAATTTTAATTATGTAATTTTTTGTGTAATTCTATTAGGTGGCTTGAGGACAAGAACCATGTTTTGCCCTGTATTGTAGCCTCCTCTGCTGAGCTCAGGGAGTGGCACATAGTAAACAATAAATGTTTTGAATGAATGAATGAATGAATTTTACCACTATTATACCTTTTTGAGCAAGTGGTTTAGTTTACTACACTTGAAGGAGATGGACTTAAACCTCTTACAAACAACTTAAAAGTCACATTCAATCTACATCATTCACTTTCTTCAGGTATTGCACACTTCACGCCATCCACACAACTCCACGTACTCAGGAAATTCACGAAGTCAGAGGGCTTCCAGTTTGACTGGGGATCACAGACCTATGGCCTATTAAAAATTCTTCATTTGGGAGGTGAGAGAAGTTACAAAAAACTGTCTATGGGAGATATGAGCCCTGAATGTGTTACATCATCATGAGCTTTTATTAGGAAAAAAAAAAAAAATTAGGATGAACAAAAGTAGCAATGCTAGAAAACAAAACACTAGAGGGGGTGGAAAAGTGAGTCACTGGCAAAAAAACTTTAGAATGGAGAGGAAAAAAGGGAAGATATGTATTTCCATACCTCAATTAGTTTGTCTCCTTTGACTACATCCAGATGTAAACCAGGTGGGGGTTTACCTGCCCTGAGAAAAAAAACAGTGAAAAAGGCATTTTCAGGATGAGTGCATAAATGTTACTTGCAATCACTGTTCCAGTCAACACTGCAGCTCTCCTATCAGCCTATAATTAGTTCATATTCACACAGAAATGTCATCTATTTCACTGTTACAGCTCTTTTCTACGTTTGACACTTCCCAAGTGATTCAACTGCTCTAAAACAGATTTTAGTGGATCTGTATTTAGAGCAGTACCAAAAAAATCTGTTTTAACACTGGATATTCACTTCTGAGAGAAACCACATAAAGTGTGCAAGTACTACAGCTGGGGTAGTCTGGTCATCTGGAGTTTGACTAAATTTGCTACCTCCCTAATATCATACAAAAGTAGAATAAATCAGATGGTATTTTAGGCTGGTCAAAAGTAATCTCAGCACACAATAAGCAGAAGGTATTGGCTGAACACTACTTAGGAGATGTTCCTGAACCTCTATCAAATCAGAGATACATAATTAGGGAACTAGGGCAACTCAAAACCATGCCCATGAAACCAGGTACCAAGTGAATAGGGGTGGTGTCTTACCCTTAAACAAGTCTCTACAACAGCATGATTAAGCAAACCTCTTAACTCTGGCTTCTCTTTCAACGGGGATATGCATATGCCTGCTACATACCAGAATCTGGGGAAGTGGTAGGTGATCTCAAAGGGTCTCTTCTGTTTACTGTCCTGACCCAAATTTGAAATCAACGTAGCCAGGAACCAAACTGGACATAAAATCTGTAGACTGAGGGCCGGGGTTATAGCTCAGCGGCACAAGCGCTTGCTTGGCAAGCGCAAGGTCCTGAGTTCGATTCCCGGTACCCACACACACACACACACACACACACACACACACAAAATCTGTAGACTAAAGCAACTTTTATGTCACAAAAGTGTAAAGGAACCCTGCAAACAGCCACACATCCATTTGCTTCCTGGATTTGTTCATTTCATACTTGAGCCCCTACATTTGCACAAGAAAAGCAAATGTATCCGACGTAACTGAAGATGCAACACAGTCATCTCACAATCCTGCCCCAACCTCTCCATAGCAGCGCACTGGACAAAAGCTCATATCGTCCGAAACAGGGAAAGGAATGTTATATCCAAGACATACGTCCTCATCTCCTACTGTGTGCCTGCCTGACTCAGGGGTAGACGCTGAGAATACAAAGACACAACGGTCTCTGCCCTTGAAGATCTTAATATAATGGGAGACAGAGACAAGTTACACGCTAAAAGACTGTGATGAGCTAGCGACAGCAGGTCTAACTAGGCTGTGTCTCGCAAGTCAGTTCACCCTTCTGCATCCCGTACCCTACTCAAGGACTGAATTAAACCATCCCACTCTTCCTAAGAACTAACTAAGCAATGGGAAGGGCCATTTTGCCGAGCTACATGCTGGTCATTGAGAACAAGGAGGTAGGTCAGCGCCAGCCCCGGCCTTAAAGGCGCTCCCAGGCTGGTGGGACCGGCAGGTACCACACGCGGGATGCGGCAGCGGCAGAAGGGTGCAGGACGCCGAGGCTGGCTGGGGAGGGGAGGGCGGCTCGTCCGCGTCCGGGACGCGCAGCAGGGGCGCCAGGGTCAGCGCTCCCGGCGAGCGCGCCAGGCAGTCAGGAGTTGGGTAAGTTCGAGGCCAAGGCGCTGAAGCACCCCAGAGAGCAGCTGGTCTCCCCAACGCCTGCCTAAGTGAGCGCCTCTGAGCTTCCAACCCCGAGCCTTCTCAATTCCTGGGCCCCGGCTCCAGGCTCCCGGCTCCTCCACACGTCGCCCAGCCCCTCACGTCGGAGTTTCCCCCCAGTCCTTCCAGGGCCTTTGAGCGAAAAAAGAGCTGCCCCTCCAGGTCAGACTAGATAAAACCAGGCCACCCCAGTCCCGGACGCCTCGCCACCACTCACCAGGTCGGACAGTCGAAAAGCGGGAGGGTAGAGCTGGAGTTCGCGGCTGCCGCCATCTTGCGTCTCCCCCTCCCATTTGGCGGGCCCGAAGCACGCCGGGAAACTGGAAGACCCGGAGAGGAGGCGGCTTCCCAGCAGTCTCAGCGCGCGCGCGCCCGCCCGCCCGCCCGCACGCGGGGAAGGGGCGGTCCCTCTAGGAGCGAGTATGGCTGACTTTAAGCTCGCCTTTGTAGTTGGGGTTGGTTTCTGGGACCCTGCGGAGGTTCAGTTTTTCTTGCAGAGGTTTCAGAGGAAAAGATGCATGTAGGAAGGGGTGTTATTTTTCCCCTACAGCTTTCTGTAAACGCCCTTGAGCTCTAGAGTCGGTCCCCAGGTTTTGCACCGTCAGCCTTGCGCCCCTCAATCTAGAGAAAAATTAGACGGCAGAACTCAGGAGATTGAAGTTAACTCACTGTTTCTCCTCCTCCAGCCCTTCTCCGGAAAGCTGTACCCTACTCACCTCCCTTTTCTAATTTAAATCTTGGCCTTAGCCGGGCGTAGTGGTGTACGCCTGTAATCAGCATTTGTCTGTAATCCCAGCACTCAGGAGGCTGAGGCAGGAGGATCATTGCGAGTTTGAGACCAGCCTGGGCTACAAAGTGAGCTCAAGGCCCGCCCGAACTACATAGGGAGATCCTGTCTCAAAAAGAAAAAAAAAAAATCCTTAAGGAAAGGTTCAGAGATGAGATGCCCAGCTTCACCCTGGAACCAAGTGGGTGTTATCCAAATCTGAGTTTGTGGCCGGGTGTGGTGGCTCACGCTTATAATCCCAGCACTCAGGAGGCTGAGGCAGGAGAATCGTTGCGAGATCGAGACCAGCCTGGGCTACAAAGTGAGCTCAAGGCCCGCCTGAACTACATAGCGAGACCCTGTCTCAAAAAGACCAAAAAAACAAAACAAAACCAAATCTGAGTTTGTGTGAAGACAAAGGCCACACTCATTAACCACACTGCCTCACACTTTTATGTTAATACAACCATATCTGCATGCATGCAACTGATGCCCTTTTTTCACTTTTGCAGAAAACCCAGGAAGAGTATCTGACCTGCAGCTCTTTTTTTTAGCCAAGAGTGTTAAATGTTTTATATGTAGTTCAGGCTGTCCTCGAACTCACTATGTACTGTAGCTCAGACTGGTCTTTGTGGGCTCAGCGATCCTGCTGGGATTATAGGTGTTTAGGACTTGTTTTTAAGGAAACAATTCTATGGCTCTCCCCTTTCAGCACAAGGCCATTATTTTTTTTAGAAGGAATGAAATACTCTCAGTGTTTTGAGTGTAACAGGAAAGAGTAAGATACTTTTACCTGCAGCGATTGTGTGGGCCTTTTCAGTTCTGCATCCCTTTCAGGCGTGAGTGGTGCTGAAGCCATGGCTACCAGTGGCCTGATTAAATCTTAACTGCCTTTCAATTTGTGGTCCTTTAGTATCATCTGTACAACTAATAAGCCTAATAACTATATTCTTTCTTTTGCTTGTTTTTTTTGCGACAGGGTCTCACTATGTAGTTCAGACTGGCCTCAAATTCACAGCCATCCTCCTGCCTCAGGCTCTGGAGTGCTAGGAGTACAGGCATACAGCACCATGTCTATCATAAAAGCTCCTTTCTTACACTTCTAATTCTTTACTCCTCAGCCATGTTCCCTGTTTGCAGACAGCTGATATTCACACTGGCCCTGGAGGAGTGGCACCTGACACCTAAGTCCTTATAAGGCAAAATGCTTTGTCTGGGCACCAATGACGTAAGTATAAGCCAAAAAACTGGAGGGAAGCGATGTAGGCCTTAACCTCCTGAAATGGAGACTATTTGCCTAGCTGCCTTAGATTCTAGTATCTCAAAAAGAGGTTAATCTTTTAGTCTCTGACAGATTTCCTTAGAATAGAATTTTAAAACATTAGGAATATATCAATATCAAAAAACTCCTAAAACATTTTTGGTACTATTTATTTATGAATGATCAAATAGACACTGCAAAACAAAACTGTTTACAGATAATATACAGAAGAGGCTTCTGTTTTGTTGTTTTGTTTTTTTGAGACAGGGTCTCACTATGTAGTGCAAGCTGGCCTTGAACTCACTATGTAGCCCAGGCTAGCATCAAACATATGGTGATCCTCCTGTCTCAGCCTCCTGAGTGCTGGGATTACAGGCATGCATCACCATGTCCCACCACAAGAGGCTTGTTTAGCTGATAAGTGTACAAGATACAGATGAAAGATAATATGTTTACTAAAGGTTAGTAGAGGGCCGGGAAAACAGCCCAGTGGCACAGCATCTGCCTGGCAAGCACGAGGTCATGAGTTCAATTCCCACCCCCCCCACACACAAAAAAGGTAGTTTAGTAGAATTGCCACATCTGTGGTTAGCAGGATGGCTTTACACTCATGATACATGGGCTAGGGATCTAGCTCAGTGGTATATCGCCTGCCTGACAAGCTCAAGGTCATGAGTTCAATTCTTGGTACCAAAAACAAAAACAAAACAAAAAAACCACATTGTATCCATGATACATGGACAGAGTGTATAGTGTCTAAGTCTGTGTGCTTGAGATCAAATCCTGGCTCCATCACTAGTAAGCTGTGTGACCATGGACAGGTTACTTATTATGCCTCAGCTTCCTGATTCATTAAAAAGGGAAAAAAGAGAAATAGATCTCCTAGATGGCTTTATGGGTATAATAAATATACAACATTTAACATAGCAGGTTGCTGGGAGTAAGGGCTCAGATAGTCCACAAATGACCATTCACATGCAGTGTACCTCGTTCAGCCTTTAAAGTCCTGTGTTAGACTGCCACTGTTGCCTTGGTTCTTTTGCTGTAAGATAATGAGGTGTCATGGGCCAGAAAAAAAATGCAGTGTGTGTGGGGTGTCACCTTTTCTTTTTTTTTTCTTTTTTCTTTTTTTTTTTCTTTTGGAGACAGGGTCTTACTATGCAGTTCAGGCTGGCCTTGAACTCACTTATGTAGCCCAGGCTGGTCTCGAACTCACAGTGATCCCCCTGCCTCAGCCTCACGAGTGCTGGGATTACAGGCGTGCCCCACCACACCCGGCTCATCAACTCTTATTTTGCAAACTAAGAGATTTAAAAATTATGTCTGAGCTAGGCATGGTGGTCATAATCTTAGCACTCTGGGAGGCTGTGGTAGGAAAATCACAAATTCAAGCTCAGCCCGGGGCACTCAGCAAGACCATGTCTCCAAGTAAAAAATAAAAAGAGGGCTGGAAATGTAATTCAGTGTGACAGCACTAGATTGAATCTCCCCAAAAAAGGTCTGGTTTGGTGTTGGGGCACACACCTGTAATTGCAGCTACTCAGAGACCAAGGCAAGAAGTCGTCAAGTTCAAGGCCAGCCTGAACAACTTAGAACCTATCTCAAAGTAAAAGTAAACAGGGCTGATGCTGTAGCTCAATAGGCCTGAGTTCAATCCTTGATACTGCAGAATGAATGAATAAATAAAATAAAATGAAGTCTGATATCACTCCTTTTTTTTTTTTTGGTCTTTTTGAGATGGTGTCTTGCTATGCAGTTCAGGCTGGGCTTGAGCTCACTTTGTAGCCCAGGCTGGTCTTGAACTTGCAACTATCCTCCTGCCTCAGCCTCCCGAGTGCTGGGATTACAGGCGTGCGCCACCACACCCAGCACTCCCTTTTCATTTCAATATTAAAATATTTTTTGAGGGGGTGCTGGCAGTTAAGCCCAAAGCCTATAGGCTAAGCACAGGATCCACTACTAAGCTACATCCCCAAACCTAAAATATCCTTTTGGTTTGATTGTCTGTTTTTTGAGACAGGATCTTGCTATGTATTTTAGGCTGGCCTTGAACTCACTATATAGCCCAGATGGGCCTTGAACTCGGGGTGAGCCTCCTACCTCCACCTCCCAAGTGCTGGGATGACAGGTGTGTACCACCATGCCTAGCTAAAATATCCTTTTTCAAAGGGAGGAGATAAGGAGGGGTGAAAGGGTGATCAAAAGTGATCAAAATATGTACCGAGTCCCCCAAATGAATGTAAACATCATGTGTTACAAATACATACCAATAAAAAATTAAAAAGATGTGAAGGACCTAGGTATACAGCTTAGTAGCAGAGCACCTGAGCACTTACTTGCCTAGCATGTGTGAGGCCACAGAGTTGATTCCAAATGCTGGGGGAAGAAAAGGTTGGGAGAACATTACCTCAGATGCAGACAGAACTTGTAGGTAAGCCCAGTACATTATTTTTCTTTTTTCTCTATGGGCTGGTAAACACTTGCTCCTTAGTGGAAACCCAGTATCAAAACGGTATTATATTGCAAATTTATTTTTTAAACAATTAAATCCTATATGGCCGCTCATGCCTATACTCCCAACGCTCTGGGAAGCTGTGGCAGGAGGATCATAAATTGAAGCCCAGCCTGGGCAATTTATCGAGACCCTGCCTCAAAAATAAAAAGGGCTGGCTATGGTGGCACACACCTGTAAATCCCAGCACTCGGGAGACTGAGGCAGGAGGATCCCTGCAAGTTCAAGGCCAGCCCCTGCTCCATAGGGAGTTCAAGGTCAGCCTGAACTACTTAGTAAGAGACCCTGCCTCTAAACAAACAAACAAACAACTAAATAATAAAAACGAACAGCTGGGGATGTAGTTCAGTGCAAAGGCCCTGGGTTCAATCCCCAGTACTGTACACACATACACAAATTGTAATACTGTACAAAAAGCTATTTGCTACATAATTACATTTGCAGGCAAAACTGTGGAGGTAAGAATCAGGTAAGTGACAGGCTGGAGTAGTAGGGGGTGACTACACAACACTGCAAAAAGCTTTGGAGGTGGGGGTGAAATGTTCTTGTTCTTTCCTCTGAAATGCTGGTGAGGGAATCCAGGACCTCACAACACGAGGTAAGACCGGCGCTGTTACTGAGCTGCATCCCAGCCCTGTTCTTTGCCTTCGCTGTGAGACAGTTAAATAACTGTCAAACTCTACAAACAGTGTACTTTCAAGACATTTTAAAGTATGTAGAGTGTGGGGTTTTGGTCTTTTTTTTTTTTTTTTTTTTTTTTTTTGGTCTTTTTGAGACAGGGTCTCACCGTGCAGTTCAGGCTGGTCTCGAACTTGCTGCAATCCTCCTGCCTCCACCTCCTGAGTGCTGGGATTGCAGACATGTACCACCACGCCCAGCTAGACTGTGTTTTAATAAACCAGAACACACAACAAAATATGAAGTCCTTAGCTGTGAGTCAAATTTCATTTTAGCAAAGTATCAAGATGAATTCCTCTGTTGGTCTAAAAGTGGATCAGGAGTTGAGAATTAAAATCTCTTCACTGGGCTGGGGATTTAGCTCAGCAGCATAGCGAATGCCTGGCAAGCGCGAGGTCATGGGTTCAATTCCCGGTACCAGAAAAAATAAATAAATAAATAAATAAAATCTCTTAACTATGTCCTGGTTAAATGGAGACTCTAAAAGTCATAGTTTGTGGTGCTAGTAAACAATACTGAAAAATCCTCTGAAGCCTAGGAACACGCTACCCATGCTTAGAAAAGCCAGGAAGAAGCAGGCGACTGGGGAAGAACATGGACTCAGATGTGAGGGTAGCCCCGCTCTCACTTACTGACCAAAAGCAGAAGCTCCATTCCCATGACTGAGGAAAGGCTGAAGAGAAAGAAAAACTGAAGGAGCACACTCAGAGTTTTACTTTGCAGACTGAATAGCAATTTCATTTCGATGCTTTTGCCCGGTGGTAAAAAGCAGTGTGAGTTTGGCTTGAGAGCTGGACTATGCATTGCAGTGGGTGAACACTCTCATCTCTAACCCTTAGCTAAAAGTCTCACACACACACATACACACACACACACACACACACAGGGCCTGCTGTGGTAGCATCAGTCTTAACACTTGCCAAGTTCTTGTTTTGAAACAGTCCCAGATGAATGGCCAGAATGACATTTCTGCTTTATCACACACAGTACAACTTCAATTCATTTGAAGAGAATACTAGAGCATACCCAGTACTCCTAGAACATTTCAGTGAAGGAAATAGATGAGAAAAAGCAAAGAATACAGAGGCAAACACAGAATTTATATGTTCAGACTAAATCCTGTTATCTTTATAGCTGAAGAACTCTATAGCTGGAAAGGAGCTACTGAGAAAATGTGGGGCCTGTAGGTTAGGTGACTTCTCTAAATACCCTCCGCAAGTTAACGGCAGAGCTAAGATCCCCTCAGTCTTCTGCGCTCCAGTCTAGTTTTTGACATTCAAACCAATGGTTCTCCACTACGACTGCAGGTAAGAATCAGCTGGAGCTTTAAAACAATCCTTGTGTCCAAGCTACACTCCAGACTAACGAAATTAGAATCTTGGAGGAGGGGCCAAGGTGTCAGTGTTTTTAGAAAGTTTCTAATGTGTTTCCATAGTGAAGAATGACTGTCCTAGACCATAGTGTCCCCAAAGATAATCACGGTACAGATAAAGAAGGCTCCGTGAGCAGGTTTATCAGGACCATCTAACAGAATCTTTTTGGCAGCTGCCACAAACTCTAGCGTAAGTTCCTGCAGCTCTCCACGGCCACCACTACAACCACTGCAGGACCACACAGAATTACAGAATCAAACTACTCACTTTATTTTACCCGAATTTAAATAGTTTTATGCAATCAATACTTTTTTCTTGCCTACAGTGTTACTAATGATGTGTCAAAGTCAACTGTGATTCGGAGCTGAAAGGACAGTGACCAGAATCGGAACCGTTGCTGCTGCTGCTGCTTAGGCCACTGTGCCACCTTAACGGCTCTGCCCTGTTTTTCAAAGAAAGGCAGCACCCACCGGTCCTGTTCCAACCCTCAGCCAACCGTCGCCGGTCTCCATTCTTCTTGCAAGTCTCAAGTCTCCCATGACAGTAGATTACCTGATATCTCATTAGAATATTAATTCATAAAAACTTACTACAAACGCTTTTCAACTGTTTATTTGTATTAAGTAGGTGGAATGGTGCAAAAGTGCAAAGAAACTTATGCATTTGGGCCCTTGTTTCCCTACTGTTCACATTAGCTTTTACAAGAAGATTAAGAAACATTAAGGGAAGTAGAAGAAATGAATATCAATGTACCTAAAGCAGCCAAATCCTCTAATTCACTAAAGTATGAACTAAAATTTTTGGCCCAGTTCGTACTTTGTGATAGCCCACGTAAAAGTTCCCTTTAACTGTTCTAGGCCTGTGAAAAAGTGAAGTGGACAACATTTATATGACAAGACAGCAATCTTTTATTGAAACCTTTTTTGTCTAAAACTATTCATGGAGAGATTAATCTCTTGTTCGTAAGTTAGGATGGGTCTAACACCACTATTCCAAACCAGTCTTATTTACAACAGTGAGCCTTTTCTTGACTTTATCATCAGGCTCACTGGGCTGGGTTTTAAACTCAACTTCAGTCGAACTTAATCTTCCTGCCATCAAACACCCTATAGGGTAGAGGACAGACAGCCTTTTGATGGCTACGTTCATCACTCACCAGGAATGTAGAGCCACAAGCGAAGAACAACAACAACAACGAAAAGATTAAATCATTCCAAACAATTATTTGCTTTCCAAAAGCATGCTATGTCTAATTCTCCTTTTCTATGCAGACAGGTGGGAGTGGGACCCCTACAGGAATATTAATGAAATTAATCTCTTTTAAAAAGGGAGCTCTTACTTAGTGTGTATAAGGTTAAACTGCTGTGGACAACACGAGCAGATAATAAAGTAAACTTTAAACTCAGATTGACACATACCCCAGCAACTGATAAACTCAAATAGGTATTTCTCATTTAATCTCAATCACATGTGTAATTCTTTTACTTTCCAGTTAAATATAATGTCAAAATCTTGCAAAACAAAGAACAGACTTCTTAGAAATTCAAAGTAAATTGTTAAATAATAAAAACTGCTGGCTTATTATACAGTTTGTGGCAGACTTCAGTATGCTGCGTGCCAGAAAATAATCTGTTACTAGTAAAAAGGTGAATTTTGTATACACATAAAAAGACAACATTATGAGAGTGTAGTGTCATCTATCAAGAAGAATATCTATAATGGAATTTTCAGCCAATGCTTGGGACAAAGGTCAATCAAAATATAAGAGAAAGCAAAGTCGACATAAATTAATTCCTAATTTGAGAAATCAATAAAATGTATACACAAATTGATAAATACTGTCTTCATAGGTCACTAATTCCAAGGACTAGTTAGTAGTTAGTTTCTAACTAAATTATTACAGGATGTTCTGATGTACGCTCTCTTCTCGTGATCAGTTTGTTCTGGCAAGAGGACTCCAACAAGCACTTGCCCTTGAAAACAACTCAGCAGGAGAAGGCTCTGAGGCAATCACACTTCATTTAGAAACTAGCCAGATAACAAGTCCCAAGACTGCAATCATCACTGACAGGACAAGCATCAGGATACACATCTTCTTGCGAGATTTTTTCTAAGGAAAGAAATACGTAAAGAAGATACTCATGAAATAAGTAAAACTTTTTCTATGGAAGACTCCAAGAGTGTCTCATAAATCTACTTCCTTGTAATTCACAATTCTCTATCAGTGCATAAATAGGCAGTGACCTTCCCCAAAACCTCAACAGTCACCAGAGCAAGGCAGTAGTGCAGGTTTCACTTGTTCCCAAATACGGTTTTGCAAAGGAGCTATACCTAGGCTGCTTGGCCCTACTTACAATAGAATTAGGTATTTGTGCATATGTATATTTTACATTTATTTTTGCAGTGCTGGGACTCAAACCCATGGCTTTGCATGCGGCAGGCAACCACTCTACCACTGAGCCGCAATCCCAGCCTTGTATGTATTTTAAGAATGGCTTTATACATATTAAAAAATGTTGTGTTCATTGTAAAAATTAGGCAAACAGAAACAGAAAACAATCATCTACAGATACACTTTATTTTTTTTTCTTTGAGACAGGGTCTTACCACGTAGCCCAAGCTGGCCTTGAACTCATGGCAGCCTCCTGCCTCAGCTTCCTAAGTGCTGGGATTATAGGCGTGCACCACCATACCTGGCTCAGATATAATTGTTAATACTTGGGTTATATTTGCTTCTGATTACTCATCTATGTGCCTTTCTATTTGACATTATTGGGTCATAGTTTTTCTGTCTTAGTGTTTATCATAAACATTTTTCTATTATTATAAATTCTTTTTTTGTTGTTCTTTTTTTTTTTGTTTGAGACAAGGTCTTACTATGCAGTCTAGGCTGGCTCTAAACTCACTTCATACTCCAGGCTAGCCTCAAACTTGTGACTGAAATAGCTAAAATACTATTTATTTCTAAAAGGCCATACAATAGCGAACTGAGAGGAAATGAGCAGGCCAGAATATTAAGAAAACATAAATCTGGATAAGGGTATAAAGGAGTACTTTGTATTTTCATTTTTGTAAGTTTTTATAAATGAGACTTTTTCTATATAAAGTATCAATATTTTTACACTCAGGTAAAGAACCAGAAAAGTCATAAAACCAGAGTTTAAACTAGTATGTAGAAGAATTTCACCTCACAGGTACAGTTTCATAATGACTAAGCCCTATTTATTCATGTGTAAGTAGCACTCATAGTTGATTCTAGGTCCAAGCTCTGTGGCAACCATCAGCGTATAGTATCTATCAATTCCTACTTTACTTGGAGCGCTTCCAGAACTAAAACACATTTCAGCTGTTCAGGGTATAAGATCAGTCTTACAGGGTATAAAATGAGTCTTACATTAGATTGATTGATTGACTGATTTAGTCTTTTTGAGACAGGGTCTCGCTATGCAGTTCAGGCTGGCCTTGAGCTCACTTTGTAGCCCAGGCTGGCCTTGAACTTGTAATGATCCTCCTGCCTCAGCCTCCCCAGTGCTGGGATTACAGGCCTGCACCACCACGCCCGGCTTACATTAGATATATATCATTCTAACTTTTGGGCCTCGATTTGTAGCTAAGAAGCTTCTGTGTTAAGTTTATTCAAGATTTGATGATTTAGTAGCTCTCTCTGCAAAGGGAAATACTAAAAACGGAACAGGTACTGCAGTTAGGACTACTTGCCTCCAGCTTGTCAACATATCCTGATGCCCATAAGATCTGCCATGCAGAATGACCTTTGTACCTGCTCTTACCTGATAGTAAGCAGCTCGCTGTAACTGATCAGCGCCTCTTTCCACGTGCACTTCGGAGCTTTCCACATTGGCTTCTATGCTATCTGCAAAAAGCACAGTGGACATTTCAGCACACTGAGATGTCCCACAACTGTAGTCTTGGAACATCAGAAGCGATTTCTGACGTTATTGGTCCCATCACCCATAACAAATAGCCATGAAATAAGAAATTACTACCTTGATAAAAGAATAGCCCTATTTTTTTGGAAATAAACACTCCTGAAGTATTTAGGGGTAAAGGACTATAAAGCAACCTACCTATAAATGGTTCAGAAAAATTTTATATATATACACCCACACCAACAAACACACACAGAAAGAGCTACAGAACCTCACCAAGCAAATGGGGCCGAATGCTAACAAAAAATAAATCTGAATTAGAGTACAAAAGAATGCCTTATATATTTTTTTTTTGCAATTTTTTATAAATGAGATTATTCCCACATAAAGTTGTTTAAAAAGTTATTAATGTCATAATTGTACAAGTTCCTGGAGATAAAGGCTGGGGGGCTGACAACAGTTTCTCTAAATAAAGACTTACCCAAAGGATACAACAACCAAATGGGGCTAAGTATCCAAAGAGACCTCATTTGAGAATATAAGAAACTTAAAAAGAAAATGAATTCAATGATTTTTAAATGAAATTCCTAAACTTTATCTCACTGATTTCTTTGGACAGAAATACTTTCAACTCACCTTGAAGTTAAAGGTATCAATAATACATACCAATCAGATCACCCTGGTCATGGATCATCATAGCCAAATCTTTAAATATTTGATTGACGTCCAAAATGTCAGCCTAAAGAAGGAAAAACAAGCAATATGTTACAAGATTCCTTTTCTCTACTTACCGATGAACATACCACAGCGTTTTTGTTTGTGTTTTTGTGGTGCTAGGATTTGAACCCAGAACCTTGTGCATACTAAGCAAGTGCTCTACTACTGAGCTATGCCTACAGCCCCACATTATGTTTTTGTTTTGCTTTGTTCTGCTTTTTGAGACAGGGTCTTGCTATGTAGTTCAGACTGGTCTTGAACTCACTACGTAGGCTAGGCTGGCCTTGAACTTAGGACAATCCTCCTGCATCAGCCTCCTGAGTGCTAGGATTACAGGTGTGCACCACCATACCCAGCTCCCACGTATGTTTTTAAAGCTCTAGAAAGCACACTTTCTCTATAACAGAAAGTCATCTATCTACCTAATATAAAACAAAAGACATGTAAAGATGCTCATTCAACAATCTTTTGTGGTGCTGGGGACTGAACCTAGGGCCATGCTAGGCAAGTGCTCTGCCGCTGAGCTACATTCCCAGACTTTTTAAATTTTGAGACAGGATCTTGCTAAGTCATAAATTGCCTGAGCTGGTCTTGAACTTGTCCTGCTACCTCAGCCTTCTGAGTAGCTAGGATTACAGGTGGGTGCCACCATCTCTGGATCCATCAAGCAATATTAACTGGACTTGCTACATGAGAACAGGTAAGATTACCCAGGTCCAAATGATAGAACAGAAGCCAGTGTGCTGGGGTGGACATATTCTTGGTGTAGAAGCTCCATGTACAGCTTAAACTGGGCCTTATGGCAAAAGTCTGCGAGTGCCTCCCAACCGCGACTACTAAGAACCGAGACTAGAGGGTTTAAATGGTTGGTACACGATCCTGCTACTGGGGAACAGGAGAAGATACGGGCAGGAAGCCTCTTTGCTCCAAGGACTGACGTGGAACTCTGAGGGGCTGCTAAATTCTGCTGACACTTGGACAGTGGCCTATAAACAGCTTTCTTTTTTGTCTTTTTTGAGACAGGCTCTCGCTATACAGTTCAGGCTGGCCTTGAGCTCACTTTGTAGCCCAGGCTGGTCTCTAACTCGCAACGATCCTTTGGCCTCAGCCTCCCGAGTGCTGGGATTACAGGTGTGCGCCACCATGACCAGTTTAGGAAGGACATCTTTGAAAGCAACAAAATGGCTTAAATGAAGCTAAACTTTCTCATGTGAAAACACACACTGACAGGGTATGTGTGTGTCTGTCAGTCTGTCTCAAACCTGGCTGCACATTATAATCACCTAGGTTTTTAAAGTATTCACATCCTGGCTGGGAATATAGCTCAGTGGCACAAGCACCTGCCTGGCAAGCCCAAGGTCCTGAGTTCGATTCCCGGTACCAAAAAAAAAAAAAAAAAAAGTATTCACATCCAGAGGATTATAATTTATTAGTCTGAACCATACGACAGTGGTTCAGATCACTGAACCACAGTGGAACCATTTTAAACCTACAAAAACAGGCATTTTACATGGTACAATCTAAGAACAAGCAGTGGAGCAGGAGGACTGGAGTATGTTTAAAAAATTTGTTTCCAGGCGATTCTAATGAGCAGCGTTCAGAACCATGGCTATAAATGAAGGTGGAAGGGCTAATTATTTTCTCCACCGCCCTTCTCTCCTCCCTCTACCCCAGGGACGCAGTCGCTTAGGATTTTAGTGGACACTGTGCAAAGTTCCAGGTGGAGCTCAAGCAAGAAAGGTCTACCCACTTCCCCCTCCATGCTCAGCCCAAAAACCTTTCCCGCTGCTCAGACGCACTGAGTGATAAGATTTTTAACTTGGAATTGGACTTTAGAATATAAAAAACTGGAATCAGACGCTGATGTGTTTTTATCCTAAGCTACTCAGGCTAACCAAACAGCTCTCCACAGACCTCTGCCTAACATAAATATGTTCCTGTCTTGCTTTTGTTCTCCATGCGTATTTCTCAAGAAAACCATATAGAATTTAAGGAAAGGATTTGGGTATTCCTGAACATCACAGCTGTTCAAGTTCACCAAGACTAAATTGAGACATAACCCATAAGTCCAGATACCTGCAGACAAAATGAGTCAAGAACGTGACCTGGCCCTCACCTCCAACTGCCGAATGGCCGTTTCCCTCTCTTTGATAAGTTCCAGGTCCTGCTCAGTGACGGCTGCCTCGTCCTCCTGGCTCTGCATCTGGTTCCACTCCTCATGGCTGTGGGGAGACAAGCACGTTAGTTGATTCCGCCTGTCTAAGGTAGGATGAGATACGCTGCATCTCCACTGCCAGCAGAACCTATGCAAAGACACGACCAGGGCCCCAATTCCTCTGCGATTCAAAGTCCAGAGGGGCACAGTGTTCCACATCCAGAGGCAAAGAGCTAATATGCCAGGAAAAGTCTAAACCTCCATGGGCAAAACTGAGAAGCAGAACTCTGGGGGATGGAACTCCTTGCCTTTTCTACTCAGGGGGACACTTTGCAACCTTGCAAATCTTTGTTTCTTGAGACAGGGTCTCACTATGTAGGTCAGGCTGGCCTTGAGCTTACTAGGTAGCCAAGGCTGGTCTCAAACTTGCAGTAATCCTCCTGCCTCAGCCTCCCTGGTGCTGGGATTACAAACATGTGCCACCATGCCCAGCTTACTTAAGTCTTTGGAGAAAGGGTCTTATTATATAATGTAGGCTTGCCTTGAACTCATGTAGGCCAGGGTGAACTCAAACTCACAATCCTGTTCCTTCAGTCTCCCAAGGACTACAATCACAGGTGTGTGTGCCATCACACCCAGCTCCACAATAATTTTAAAATATCCTCCCTGCCCTGGAGATACAAAACCGAGTCAGACAGGGTCCCCTAGGCCTTTGTGGCACTCATATCGTAGTGGGGGAGATGGTTACATATCTATGATAAGACATTTTTATCTAATAACATTTTACCCAATAACATGAACATATACCTATGGATTAGACTGAAGAAGATAAGAAAGGAACATCTTTTGAAACATTTTTTTTTGGGTATCGGAAATCTAACGCAGGACCTTGCACGTGCCAGGCAGGCGCTTATGCCACTGAGCTATATCCCCAGCACAGGAACATCTTTTGAAAATAAACTGCTTTTCCTCCTACTATTCCCAAGGATGACCTGGCCTCACTTTAGAGGTAAATAAACAAAGACCCATGAATGCTGAATAATTTATATCTAAACTACAGGTAAGGGGCTGGGGATTTAGCTCAGCGGCAAAAGCGCCTGCCTGGCAAGCGCAAGGTCGTGAGTTCGGTTCCCCCGTCCCGGGGGAAAAACAAAAAAAAAAAAAAAAAAAAAAAAAAAAAAACTACAGGTAAAATAACCAAGACTTCCTAACCTGTCGATTCGTGGAATTGAATTTACTCCTGGAAAATCCAGCTTTCTTCCCCACACAGATACTGGGAGTTTCTTGGAATTTTTACTCATCTTGAAATTATCCATCCCGCAATTTAAAGACCTTAGAAAAGACTATAATTTTGACTTTTTAATTGTATTTTTTTGGAGAGAAATTTCCTGTGGTCCACCTTTATTTTTTCCTCATTGATACTTTAAAATTAAAAATAAGGACACAGATGCCCATCAGGTTGAATGAATAATCCTTTACCTGTCAAATGAGACGAGCTGCTCCTCTCTTTGCCTCTCTTCTGCCTAGAAAGCAGACAGCGTTATTAGTGCTGTTATCCAGAAACAAGTTGCAGGCAGACACACAAAACAAGGGCTTCCTTAGCCACAGCGTAAAGAGGCGACACCCTTGGCTCCCACAGGATCTGTCTGTAAAATGACACAGGACTCTGGCGATCTGCCTCAACTACCAAGCGGGTGGTGAAGGGGCTCAGGGTAAATCCGTATTCCAGTTTGGGCCCAGAATGGAAATGGAGAGGATGAACAGAACAGAGAGGAAAATGAGGAGGGGCAGGGACACTAATGGTGATGATGATGATGACGATGACAGTCTATCTTAAAATGTGGAGGAAAGGAAAGGATTGAAAACTTGACAAAAAAAATTTCAGAACCTGTAAAGATCTTTTTAAATGTATATTTGTAGTGCATTAGGTATTCAAGTGGCAAACTAACTTCAAAAATCAGTTTAATGTGTGTCTGACATTTCTAATTTAAAAACAAATTAAGATTTTAAAAATGAAAATGAAACCCAACTTGTTGTTTTTTTTTTTTTTTTTTGAGACAGGGCTTTGCTCTGTAGTTGAGGCTGGCCTTGAACTCACTATATAGAACAAGTTAGCCTCAAATAATCCTCCTGCCTCAGCATCCTGAGTGTTGGGATTACACACATGCACCACCATGCTAGGGGTTCCAGACTCACCATTTTTATAACAGTAATAGAAGATAAACAAAATGAAAATTTGAAAATTCTGCCTACCCCTTGGGAACACTGCTGGTGTTTTGTTTTATTTTTTGAGACAGGGTCTTGCTATGTAGTCCAGGCTGGCCTTGAAATCATGGCATTTCTCCTGAATCAGCCTCCCAAGTGCTAGGATCACAGGCATGTACCACCACATCTGGCATTTCTTTTTTTTACTGTGAGAGGGGTTTTTTGTTTGTTTTTTCAGCTGGGCATCTTACTATATTGCCCAGGTTGGTCTCAGACTCCTGGACTCAGGAAGCTTTTTGCCTCTACCTTCTGAATAGCAGGGACTATAGACACCTGGTCACTGTGCCCTGGCTTTTTTTTTTTTTTTTTGGTGTCGTACTGGCGATTGAATCCAGGGCCTTCCTGTTGAGCTATATCCTTCCCCACCTTTTTGAGACCAGGGTTACAATGTATTTATTCCACTATTCAAAAATATCTGAATGCTTCTTTTTTTTTTTTTTTTTTTTTTTGTGCCGCCAGGAATTGAAGCCATTCTTCGAACATTCTTGTTCATAGCATCCACCCTGATATACAGATATTCAGGTTTCTCTACAGTAGAACTGCTGGGCCATAGGTACGCCTGTCTCTGAAAATATAGCTAAAGTATGTATTCCACAGTGGTTGCTCCAATTCATACTACCCTGGGCCAAATGGCGAAGTTCCTGATGCATCACAGAATTTAAAACTTTTGCCCTCTCCATGAATAAGTATTTCACCTGGAGAGTCCATGACTACTAAGAAGTTGAGTGCTAAAACAGGTGTGGTGGTGCACGTCTATACTCTGGCACTCCAGGAGCCCGAGGCAGGAGGATTCAGAGTTCAAGCCCACTCTGCCAATTTAAGAGACTTAGCAACACCCTGTCTCAAACAGATAAAAATTTTAAAAAGGGTTGGGGCTGGGCACAGTGGTGCACACCTGTAGTCCCACCACTCAGGAGGCTGATGCAGGAGGATCACCTTGAGATCTAAGCCACTCTATGGCTACAAACTGAGTTCAAGGGCAGCCTGTACTACATAGTGAGACCTCAGGAAAGAGAAAAGAAAAAAAAAAAAAACGGGTCCAGGGATATAGCTCAGCAGCACAGTGCCTGTCTAGTAAGCACAAGGTTGTGAGTCTGATTCTCGGTACAAAAAAAAAATTAAAAAATAAACAAAAGTAGGGGATCCCTGGGGAGTTTGCTGAAAAGGCCCTGGGTAAAATCCCTCCCCTCCCCAATAAAAAGTCAAGGACCTTTTCACTTGTTTGACCACTATTTGAAACAAGATAAATATGTTTATTGGCCTTTTTCACTATTAATATCTGCACTCACACATCAAAAGCCATGGTGGGGACGATGGCTCAAGGCAGCAGCACCAAACTACACCAGTATCGCTGCATTACCGTCTTCTCCATCACTACACACAGTGAAAAAATAGAGTAAGTCGGATACAGTGGCACTCACCTGTAGCCCACTACTGTGAGGCTGAAGCAGGAGGATCATAAATTCAAGTCTACCCTAGGCAACTTAGAGGCTTAGTGAGACCCTTTCTCAAAATAAAAAATTAAAAAAGGGCTGGGGATGTAACTTAGTGCAAAGGCCCTGGGTACAACTCCCAACAATGCATAAAAACAAGCTGGTTTTTCTTTGATAAAGCTGTACAAATTAATTCATTAAATCTCAACATTTAATACATGTCTTTTTAATATTCTGTGTATGATGACATTGGATGTATACATACGCTTCTGTTGTATACAAAAATATGATGTTTATTTCCAGGAAAAGTACTTGTGCTCTTGAGCTGAAGGCTGAACTACCCACGTTTTTAGAAAATATTATTTTTATTTATTCAATATGGTTTTATAGAACTTACTGAAAAGTTTATAAAGCTTTTATAAACACATGTACTTTACAGATGAGTACAGAAAGCTTTCTGAAAATAAATCTATCAAAAAAAACAAGGGACAGTGTTTGTTTGTTTTTTAGTGTTTGTTTTTTATTTATTTATTCATTTATTTTTTGAGACAAGGTCTCACTGTGTAGTTCAGGCCGGCCTCAAAGTCCCTATGTAGCCCACACCTTCCAAGTGCTGGAATTACAGGTGTGTGTACCATGCCCTCCTGGCAGAGACAGTGTTTGTTATCCATGATAAAAATGCAAATTTCTGGTCTTTTTTTTTTTTTTGTCTTTTTGAGACAGGGTCTTGCTATGCAGTTCAGGCTGGCCTTGAGCTCACTTTGTAGCCCAGGCTGCTCTCGAACTTGCAATGATCCTCCTGTCTCAGCTTCCTGAGTGCTGGGATTATAGGTGTGCGCCAGCACACCTGGTTAAATATGTAAATTTCAAGAAAACAGAATTTGGAAAACATGACTATGAGAGTTTCTCAATATTTTAAGACTTTCCTGAAGAAACTGATGGTGATGTTACATTTAGAAGACCTGTATAACTTAGGGAGCCCGAATTTTCCCAATGACAAATACATAACTCATGCATGCTACAAAAATCATTCATGGATAAAAGATCAAATCAAGTATGTAAACGTAACTATGAAAAAATGATCAGTTGTTTTAGATTAGTTATTGAGATTAATGAAATAAGTTTTGGTAGTTTTTTTTTTGTTGTTTTAATCCATTTTTTAGCTTTTTATTTTGAGATAAGGTCTTGCTAACTTGCCCAGGCTGGCCTAGAACTTGAGATCTTCCTACTCCAGCCTCCTGAGTAGCCAGGATTAGAAGCATGCACTGATTTGCTCAGCTCTTGTCAAGTTCTGAAGTGCCAGAGAGTATCAACTATGACCTTAACAGGTTATAAAAATATTCCTCCCCCTTCCATTTACCTCTGTGAGGCTGGATTTTCCCCAGATACTTCAACAGTACAACGTATCACAAGAGATGAGCAAGAGGCAGATACGACCCCAGACAAAAGCTGAGGGAGTTCATTACAACTATAGCTGTTTTTACAAGAAATACTGAACGTTCTTCAAACTGAAAGAAAAGGATGCTAATTTGTAACATGAAAGTATAAAACTCACTGGTAAAATAAGCACACAGTCAAATTTAGGAAACTTTAATATAGCAATGGTGGTAAGTAAACACATCTCAAGTATGAAGGCTAAAAAAACAAGCAGGTATGACAATCTAGTTGCTTTCTGTTATGCAAGACATTAAAAGATTTGCAAAAATTCAAACAATGCCACTCTCCCCATTAATTTGTTTTGGAAAAGTGGTTATTTTTATTAAAAATCTCTTATGTTTATGATAATATGTAATAGTATTATTATTATTATTTTTTTTTTTTGGGTTTTTCTCCGGTACCGGGAACCGAACTCACGACCTTGCGCTTGCCAGGCAGGCGCTTTTGCCGCTGAGCTAAATCCCCAGCCCCTGT